TGTTGCTTCTTTCCCAAGGCACAAATCCACTTGGCTTTGCTTCAAACCTTCAGCCACAGCAGAATGTTTAAAAAACTCACCAAACTCCTTGTAAGTCAAGTGGATCCAAACCAAGAATTGGTCCCTGTCGAGAGCATCGGAGATGATAAGCACTTCAGGCCCCTCTATCTACTGAGAAGCAAAAACAAACCAAACACCACATTCCACTCAGCTCCCTTCTACCAGGAGGCAGGATTCAAACTGGATGATGTGCTGCTGCCTGGAAAACATGGTAAAAGCATAGAYAATGTCCAAATCTATCAATATRAAGRTCACAAATACCATAGATAATATGTTTAGATAATTTGTGGTTGAACTGTAYCATGTTCCAGCTTTCTTGTATGTGATGAAATTACAGTGCAGTGTAATCTTACAGAGTCTGTGTAATCCTGCTTAAGATAATGTATGGAATTATTTCAGTGCCTCTCCATGAAGATTCCAGACCATTTACTATCACAACAGACACCACGGAAAACATTGAGGGGGGTATCACCATTCCTCTTGACGCTGTAAGCATAGGGGTGGAAGGAGGTGGCTCCGCATCCTACACGTTGTCCATCACAGCACAGCAGAAGGGCATATCACTGGAATCACTGGAGGAAGTGAGAAGAGAAAGGTGAGGAACAATGAAGGGAGCAGATGTGCTTTGCCCAAAACAGGTCATTGATAGGTTTYTAACATCCTAAAACCAAGATAAAGGCCTTAGGCCAGGAATTTACCCTAACTAGGCCAGGTTAGAAAGGGAATGGAGTGACAAGCTCCTCTCTCAGTCTCCTCTTCTCCAGACTGAGCCCCTCAACCTCCTGATGCTCCAGACTCTTCCCATCCTTTTTCTCTTTTAGAAAAATCAACATGGATCACCACTTCATCCAACAGCTACAGAGAACAGGCAGCAATTTATTTGTGGTCACTGAAATCCTCGAAGCTGCAAAGGAGGGTGTCTTCAAGGAATCCATCAAGGAAGAACTGAGCATCTGGGAAAAGATTTTTGACCTAATCAGGGGAAAGGTTTGGCTTCTCTCAAGCTCCTTATTGGTCCTTCCCCAAGACCTGAACCCAGGTGCTCTAACAAGTTGTTTTCCTTGATCAGGGCTCAAGGGAGAAGACTCAATGCATAACTGTACCT